AACAGAAAGTTGCTTGGAGGATCATATATGTTGTACCTCAGCGTAGCTATTGTTTAGAATCACAGGGCTGCTGCCAAGATCACTAGTCCCATGTCACAGAGGAGCATGTTGCTATATGCAGCATAAGACCACTTTACGTACCGACAATTTCCACACTCTGTAGGCAACTGCAGCAGAGGAGGTAGGGGTGGCCTACCTGTGACCCTCCAGATGTTGTTGGATTCCAATTCCTATTAGTGCCTGTCAGCAATGTCAGGGACTGTGGGAGCTGTAGGGCAAGCATCTGCCTTGACTGGGTCTCACCACTATTCCATCCAGCTTAGCCCTATCCCTGGTTACTTACATTAGCTCTCCAGGATTTCAGATATGGCCTTTCCCAGTCACACCTGGAGATACCAAGGATTGAACTTGGGGAATTCTGCATACAAAAGCATGTGCAGCACCCAGGAGCTACAGCTCCTCCACAACTTTGCTGGGTGCACCTCAGTTTCAGAAACACAATAAACATTCTTGCCCACCTGAAAAAGTATGCAGTTTTGATACAAATTTCAGTTTTCAAGATCCGCTTGTTCAGAAGCTACTGCACAAAACCTCTAACCATTCAATTTCACACACCCCCAAAAAACCCTAAGCTTAGTTATTACACACATTTAGAAATTGGCGACGACACATTTGTCTGTTCTCCTCACCTGAGCCTTGCTAGAATTATACACATTCCAACTCTTTAAAGGACATTTTGCTTCATCAGACATGCTTAGAAACATGTCTAAACTTCCTCTCCTTGGTTTGGAGTGCCATGGGACTGGGGCAGCTTTGAATACTTCAGCTCCAAGCTGCTTCATGGGAGGCTCCAGACATGTCCCTCTTTTGGCCCTACAGGTGCTGGAGCTCTGACATTAGTTCAAGCAGGGCACTGAAGCCAGCAGCAAAGACAGAGGCTCATATGAGATGCCCCTGTCCAGATCTCTGCCTTCAGTATCAATGCAATCTATTGTATGACCCATGATACACTCTCAGAGACCGTAAGATTACATCCACTGAGAACTTCAGAAGCAAATATAAATTGCAATTAGCATATATATAGCATATTAATAAGGGCAGGGCCAAGATGACTCAATATTGCCAAAACCACCAGGTGAATGTGTGTGCACGCAATCTGGAGGCTTGAGATTCAAAAGCCAAGCATATCACCAAACCACTAGGAATATAGCTTGAGGCACTAGAACTCTGGGGAAATATTCTGATTTGGCACCAATTTCTCTCTCTTTATGGGCTATTTCCAAGCATTTCAAGTCTTGGGTGCTGCTTCACATGTTATCTACGTGGTATATGAAGCAACACAAAAACCAGGCCGATAAAAACAGTAGCATGTACTTTTTGACTTTCGAACTTCATCATACAGCAGCACAGTTTCAGAATTCTGATAACATATTACTTATCTACCTAGTTTTTATAATCCATCAAGGGTTTTTTTGTCCAAACAGTACTTCAGGCAGGCAATTATGGATTAATAAAAATGAACACATACAACTAAGCTAGAAGGATTCAAATGTATGCAAGAAGCACTTTGCCTGATTAAATAAACCAAGGAAGACTGCAGCTTCCAGGTGTGAAATAGTCTTTTATCCATGTTTTCCTAGTAAAAAGGTTTTCATAAATCACAAAACTACCATTGGGGGAACCACCATATTCTGTTTTTCCATCTTTACCAGCAGGACAACACTGGCCTGGTTCATACATCATACATCACACTACACTACACTACACTACACCAAACCAAACCAAACCAAACCAAACCAAACCAAACCAAACCATGGCTCAGTCCAAATGTGAGTGTGCAAGTTTCCAGAGAAGAGCATGGCCTCCCCAGTGGTTCTGGCTGCTGTGTTACACTAAGCCATAGCTTGATTTAGCATGTTGTCTGAACCCAGGCTCACAGTTTAGCTATTCCAAACAAACAATGAGCCACAAACCATGGGACAAATTTGGGTTACATCTAATGGTTAGTATGGAGACAGTTAAACCACAAACCCAGGACCACATGCCAAGTCAAGCGCTGACTTAGCATAGCAGCAGAGTGACTAGGGAGGAGTAAGGTAGGCACAAATCTGTCTCCTGGGACCTGTGTGTTTATGCTAAGCCTTGGTTTCGCTTAGGGTGACATGAAAACCAGGTCACCATGAAAATGCCAAGAGTAAACCAAGAAAAAGACAGCATTAAAATGGAAAGATCTAAATCTAGCCTTGTGGCTATGTCAATGAACCACAAGTTACAGGAAATCATTTAAAGGTGCTGATTTGCTTAGCAAAAGGTGTATGTATGCCAGATTTTCAGGGGGCCTTTAAGCTCCCCTTTTTTCTGCACAGCATATTAAATCCAAGGTGTTTATGCCTTAAACAAGACAATCATCTTGTTAAAACCACTTTAAACTAATTATTTTTTCCTGCTCAAGATCTCCCACTACCCTATCCCCCCCCAGCTGAACTCAAACACCTGCTATTTCCTCCCACTGTTCCTTCCAACTGTCAGAACCCACTGTAACTAAGCCAACTTTGAGTCACTGACAATTAGTATTTTTTTTCAGAATCCTAAGAGTAAATCCTAAATTTAAATTTAGAATTTAAATTAAATTTAAACACAGGTGTCACTCACATGTTATAAATACCTACATAAGATTTCCATGTAGGAATTGACATACAACATGTGCAGCAGAATGAATTTACCCTATACAACTCGTTCATTTTTAAACAGAAGCATCTCCTGTGTCTGAATTTTGTCATGTGCGGGGTGCTTTCCTACAGAATAAAAATTAGTTGGATGAGTATCTGAGTTTCAAACATCATTTACAATCTGATTCACCCCACGAGCACTACAGCTACAAATCACAAGCTTAGAATAAGATTCCCATTTTTAAATCTAAGAAGCATAGCAGTAATTATTCTGTTCTGGGAAGAAAAAAAAGATAGTCAAGTGCACCAACTCCTGGCCAATGACCCCAATCCATCTTTAAGGACATATCCTTAAAAGTTTGAGACGTTCTAACAAAATTAATGGCAAGAAGTTAAGAGGAAACAAAATCTACATAAAGGCTATTGAATTAAGGAACAGAGAGGTCTCTGTGGTTTGCCCAAAAGCTGTTTCTCGTACCACTCCGTAAGCAAAAACATCCACAAGTCTACAGAAGCAGTTGTTAGGGTTGACAGAAAACAAAGCAGCAACCCAAGCTTCTGGGTTCCTTATGTGACATACTTCACGCATTTATTTACGTCATTAAGTGGAGCAAAGGGCTTCTGCCCCGTTTCCCAATACTTACTGTCAATTCCCACATCCTCAGTTATTCCCGAACCTCTCATTCTTAGGTACGTGAGCCCCAATATCAGAAAGAACAAGCATGCAGCAGTTAAGAGGAACATAGACAGGTAATGGGCACTGAAGCCTCCTGTGGTGGATATTTCTTCTCTCTTGAACTGCTGCAGAAGATCCTCCTCGGGCTCCGAAACCTTCTGCTTGTAGGTGTTTTTCGGATAAGTATGATTTGAACCTGTGTGGTTGGAGTGATTGATTCTAGTGGAGGAGGAAGTGGTAGCACCTGGAGAGAGGCTGGGGGTAGCGGTATATATCCTAGGTTCCACATTGTAGCCACCAGTGAGGATATGATTGTTGGCTGGTTTCCTGTCGCCGCCCAAGGAATCAGTCATTTTGCTACTACTGTCCAAGCCGCTGAGCAGCGGCGGAAGAAACAGCTGCTGGTGGGCTTTCCTCGCAGAGCCACCGCCGCGGTACCTGGGCAGGAGCGGCGGACTGGAGTCCAGATACCCGCCCCTTTTCGCCAGGTCGACCTCCTCTTCTTCCTCCTCCTCCTCGTCTTCCTCTCGACTTCTCCCCCTGTCACTGCTCCTGCCAGAAGCAGCCACCCTAACATTCAATGCACGGCCACCACCAGCACCAGCACCCTGGCCAGTCTCCATCAAGCCCCCTGCTGCACCTGCCTGGCCCGAGAACGGCGAGGCAGGTCTGTTAAGGCTCCTTCGGGCCAGGTAGTGGCGGGCAAGCGCCTCCTCTCTCAGCACCTGCTGCTTGGCCCCCGTCGCAACCGCCGCCTCTTCCTCCTCCGAGTCCGAGTACTTGTCCCTCCTGCTGGAGAGGAACCGGCTCCCGTTCACGGCGCGGTTCTTGCAGCGCTCCTGCTGCGGCTGCTCCTCCTGGGGCTCGTCCTCGGCGGCGGCGGCTGCTGCTTCCTCGTCGTCGTCCTCCCCGTCGTCCTCTCCGCCGCCCGGAATCTGCTCCCGAGCTCCAGCCGCCCGCCTGGCCGTCGCCCCCCACCAGGCATGGGGCTTCCTCCGAAGAGGAGGCGCCGCCGCGCTGCTGGGGAGGCAGCCAGTGCCCGCCGCCGCCGCCGCCGCCGCCGCCGCAGGCCTCGCGTCCCGCCGGGAGGCTGAGCCCCGCTCCCGCCGGCTGCCCGCGGCGCCAGCCGGGCCCCGGGGACCGGCCTCCGCATCCGACTCGTCAGAGCTGAAGCCCAGCAGCACTTTGCCGCCCCCGACGCCGCGGGCCCGGACGCCGCCGCCGCCTGCCGCCCCAGACAGGGAGGAGGAGGAGGAGAGGTCGGCGCTGGCCAGCCGAGACGCCAAACCGCCGCCGCCGCCGCCTGCCCCGGGGTTATTGTTGTTACTGTTCCGGGTCTTGCTGGCGGCGGCGTTGGCGGCTCGGGCCCCGCCAGCTCGCTCTTCCTCGCGGAGCTTCTTGAGCTTCTTCAGGTAGACGGGCCGTGTGCTCTCGGTGACGGGCCCCGGCGAGAAGCCGAGTCGCCTCAGCTCGGAGAAAAGCTCCTCGTCGGTAAGCTGCGCGGCGGCGGCGGCAGCCGCCATTTTCCTCCCTCAACAGCCGCCGCGGCCGCTTCCTACCCACGCGCCGAAGCTCCGGTCCCCGCCCAAGGGGCTGCGGTCTTATAGGTTCCTCTGACGAGACTTCCGGTTCGCCGATGGAAGCCCTGCCATGTGCGGGGTAAAAAAAGGAGAGTTAAGCGCTGCACACGCGCGCTCTGCCCATGGCTTCGAAAAAAGGGGAAAGCAGACCCAATCTCCAAGGGCGACGTTTTTATTCCTGACAGGATTCACACCTTGGCTTGGACAGAAATTGAAGAGATGGGGTGGGTTTCACCTGCTGAGTTTCTGTGCCGCACCTGGTTTTTAAGAGAACCTTTCAGGTGTGTGACGTTTTCTGCACACACACCCCAAAGTAGGAAACGGTCTTTATCTGATGGAATCAGATTCTGTTTTTACTTTCTGTGGCACAGCCAGAAGTTTAACAGTTTACAGCGCACCTCCGTTTATTATCCACACCTGTTGAATTTCTGCCTGCTGCCCACTTTGAAAGGCACGAGGCTTCCCAGTGGAAGCCCTGCGGACTTCAACCATTTTCACCCTCGTATAAAACCATTGCTTCAAGTATCAAACATGGATCCTCCTGGCGCTGCGATCCTGTACGTGCCCACCTGAAAGTGCGCTTGCTGGGCTCCTTTGGCAGGAAGGGCGAGATGCAGATTTAAATATTGCTCCGTGTTTGGATATGGCCGTCAGTATATTTGCACACATAGTGTGCAACTGTGCTGGGAATCCTTTGAACGCTTCCTTCGCCCAGGTACCAATCCGCACTTGCTTGGCTTGGGGAAGTCTAATCAGAACAAGGAAGCGATAGGTGTGGGAAGCTTCAGGGTTGTTGTTTTATCCCTTTGGTCCCCGCCGGCCGGAACTGACGCGTGCGCACTAGACTGTGGCCTAGACCCGCCCGTCACCCTGGAAGCGCCGCTCTGCCCGCCAGGGAGGGAGGCGGGTTGTGTGGGCTTCCTAAATTCAAGATCTCTCTCTGGGACAGAAAGACTGCAAACTCCCATCACGACCCCAGAGTACAAGCATGCGGCGTGCCATGTAAAAGCACACAGTGTTACACACACATACACGTGTCTTCCTTATTAGGGACGTTTTTGTTCCATGTGGCTGGAATAGCAACTTAATAAGCAAACACTCCCTGTACAAAGGGCACCAAGTCCAAACGGAGAAAGGCTGTAATTCAGTTTTGGGGCCACCCTACACGTGTAGGGGGAATCCTAACGTCCTGAACTGAAGAGCTCTCTCTGTTCTTTAAAGGAACAGCTGTAAAAGACGTTTCGCAGCTTCATATCCTGCATCCTGTAACAGCTTTTGCAGTGGGATGCCCAACTCAAAACGTTATTCGCGTGACCATAATGCAACCAGATCCAAAACCTCCCTCCAAAAATGGGTTTGCTTCAAGGTGCTATTTGTTCTCACCACAGTGGCTGATGCTACCAGCTCCTTTACCATGACCAAATAGCAAGTGACCCCAGTGTGCATTTAACTACTCGGTCATCCCCTAAAAGTGTGATAAAATACTCCTTAGGGCTTGACATGATGATACAAAATTGAGTTCCTCCAGTTCACCTGAGATAATTTCCAGTCATTTTGCATGGGCTCCATGTCCTGCTTCCAAGTGGTGAACTTTGCCACATTCCTTCTAATAATGAACATTATTCCTAGCGAATGCCAATAGGATGTTGGAACCAAATTCGGAAATGGAGGTATCCACATGCTCAGAGACTGTGACCGTTTTTTTAAAAAGAGAAGGTGGGGAATAAGGCATATGGATGAAGCAGGTTAAAAATAAGAGGGACTGCTGTGACTCTGTCCAACCCTATGCTAATTACTTACAAGAAGGCTTTTTAGTTCAGTGTTTCCCAACCACTGTTCTGCGGCACACTAGTGTGCCGCGAGATGTTGCCTGGTGTGCCGCGGGAAAAATTAAAAAATTGAAAGATTTTTTTTTTTTAAGTCAAATTTTTGATTGGGGCGCCGTCACTAGATGACCCCTGGGGTTCCCTCCCTCCCTCCCGCTCTGCGCCTCCCTCCTCCTCCTCCTCCGGGGAGGCCCTTCCTGGCTCTCGGCCAAGGCTTGGCGGCTGCCACTCACTCACTCGCTCGCCCACCCGTCCCTCCATCCCTGCACCCGGCCTCTCCCCCTCCGTCCCCGGCGCGAGGGCTGCCAGGATCCGTAGGTGTTATGTAGTGTAGTTTCACCCTGGGCCAACAGGGGGATACTGTATATAGTTTTCACTCAGGTCTGTAGATAGTTTTCACTCAGGTCCGCGGCAGTTATTTTAGGCGGGAACTCTGGGCTGTTGTGGTTACAATGTGACAGCCGGCTGCCTATAAATACAGGCCGGCTGAGCTGTCGCAGTCAGTTGTATTCCAGCTTACCATAATAAAGAGCTACTTGAAGAAATCGCTGTGCCGGCTGCTATGTCAACCCACGACTTAACACTGGCGACGAGGATGGGATGATGGACATCAGAGCACAGCCAGATGCGGCCAGCCTCTGAACTGAGCTGAATCACTGAGCTGAATCACAGAGCGAAATCACTGAGCGAAATCACTGGGCAGAACCAATTCAGAGCTGACTGTTCTGGCTAGAGCACTGTGTTCCATCCATCGCCCTTCACGCCGGCATCGGAATCATGGCTTCACTTGTGCCTCTACCGCCGTTTGCGCCAGCCTCTGAATCGTGGGACTCCTACCTCGCTCGGTTCGACTGCTACCTCCAAGCCAACGAGCTGACAGCAGTATCAAAGGATCGGAAGCGGGGCCTATTCCTCAGCCTCTGTGGGCCTGAGGTGTTTGAGACGGCCCGAGCGTTGGTTGCGCCTGAAGCAGTCCAGGCAACACCATGGGACACGATCCAAGAGAAGCTCCGCAACCACTACGCACCAAAGCCGTCCAAGATTGCTGCCCGCCATGCGTTCTACCACCGGAACCAGGCAGAGGGGGAGTCAATCAACAACTACACCACCGCCCTGCGACAGGCTGCAATGCACTGTGAGTTCCGAGACTTAGACGATGCCCTGATGGATCGAATCGTCTGCGGGGTCCGGGACATCCATCTGCAACGGCGCCTCCTAGCCAAGCCAGACCTCACGCTACAGAAAGCCATTGAGGAGGCTGTGGCCTCAGAAGCTGCTGAACGCTCCGCCCAGGAGATCCGCAAGTCCAGCAGCCCGCGTCTTGCTAGGGAGCCAGTTCCAGTGCATCATGAAGAGGCCAGCAGTGATGAGGCATCCTCCAGTGAAGACGATGACGTGCACCAGACAAAGCGGGAGCGCAGGAAGTTCCAACAGAAGTCCAAGGGCCAACCGGAATGTGCTGGCTGCGGAGGCAACCATTCCCGTGCCAAGTGTCGATTCAGAGACGCCATCTGTAGGAGGTGTTCCAGAAGGGGCCACATCGCTAAGGTCTGCCGATCGGCTCCGTCTGACACCCCCCCTTCATCGACTCGCAAGTCCAAGTCTTCACTCCAGTCTGCCAAGGAAAGTTGTTTCGCTCTCACCAACTGCCGCTGCCCGTCTGGAACCACGATTGGCCAAACCGACTCGCCTACGCGACGCAAGCTGAACGTCACGGTGCTCATTGAAGGAGCTCCATGTGACATGGAGATCGACACCGGGTCTGCCCTGTCCATCGTGTCATGGAGCACCATCAAAAGACTGGTACCCAGAGTGTCCAAAAGGCAACTCGACTCTCACCGCGTACACCTGAGAGACTACCAGGGAAACGACATTCCCGTGGTAGGCGTTGGCCGGTTCCGGATCGCTTTCAAGGATTTTTCGGGCCTGCTCCGGTTGGTGGTGGTCGAAGGTCAGCGGCCAAGCCTCCTAGGGCTAGACTGGTTTGATGCCCTCGGCCTGGAAGTCACCGGCATCAACTGCATCTCTAACGCAGAGACTGAGGGTCTGGTCAAAGACTTTGCCGAGGTTTTTGACGGCACCTTGGGCCAATATACAGGTACGCCCATCTCCTTTAGCCTTGATCCACAAGTCGCCCCCATCAAGCTAAAGCCACGCCGGGTTCCCTTTGCTCTCAAGGCTAAGGTGGACGAACAACTGGACAAACTGATCGCCCAAGGAGTTTTGGAGCCGGTTGACCACGCCAAGTGGGAAACCCCCATCGTCACGCCTGTCAAGCCAGATGGGTCGGTGAGAATCTGCGCTGACTACAAGTGCACGATCAACAAGGCACTTCAGCAGCACGCTTATCCGGTTCCTGTTGTCCAACACCTGCTGCATTCCCTGGGTGAGGGTAAGGTCTTCGCTAAGCTGGACCTTGCCCAAGCCTATCAACAACTGCCAGTCGATGATGCCACTGCTGAAGCCCAGACGATCGTCACCCACCGGGGGGCTTTCCGTTGCCGCCGGTTGCAGTTCGGGGTGAGTGTGGCTCCTGGCATCTTCCAAAGCCTTATGGAGCGTCTCCTGCAAGGGCTTCCGGGCGTGGTACCATATTTTGATGACGTCTTGGTGTCTGCAGACTCACACCAGCAGCTGTTCGAGCGCCTCCGTGCCGTGCTGACCAGGTTCCAGGAGGCCGGGCTCAAGGTAAAGAGGGAGAAGTGCCAGATCGCCGTTCCACAGGTAGAGTTCCTGGGCTATCTTATCGATGCCTCTGGTCTTCATCCAACCACATCCAAGATCCGCGCTATCCAGCAGGCCCCCACCCCAAAGAACAAAACGGAGTTGCAGGCATTCCTGGGGCTGCTGAACTTTTATAACATGTTCCTGCCCCACAAAGCCACAGTGGCTGAGCCTCTTCACCGACTCCTTAGCACTAAGACGCCTTGGGCCTGGGGTCATCGGGAGACGGCGGCCTTCAACGCGGTCAAGGCTCTCCTTTCTTCAGATAGTGTGCTGGTACAGTACAGTGAATCCAGGCCGCTGGTCCTTGCCTGCGACGCCTCACCTTTTGGCATCGGTGCTGTCCTTAGTCACCGTTTTCCAGATGGAAGAGAAGCACCGCTCGCCTACTTTTCCCAGGCCCACTATCTCTTAGTTCAGTGTTTCCCAACCACTGTTCTGCGGCACACTAGTGTGCCGCGAGATGTTGCCTGGTGTGCCGCGGGAAAAATTAAAAAATTGAAAGATTTTTTTTTTAATCAAATTTTTGATTGGGGCGCCGTCACTAGATGACCCCTGGGTTCCCTCCCTCCCTCCCGCTCTGCGCCCTCCTCCTCCTCCTCCTCCGGGGAGGCCCTTCCTGGCTCTCGGCCAAGGGGCGGCTGCCACTCACTCACTCGCTCGCCCACCCGTCCCTCCATCCCTGCACCCGGCTCTTCCCCTCCGTCCCCGGCGCGAGGGCTGCCAGGATCCGTAGGTGTTATGTAGTGTAGTTTCACCCTGGGCCAACAGGGGGATACTGTATATAGTTTTCACTCAGGTCTGTAGATAGTTTTCACTCAGGTCCGCGGCAGTTATTTTAGGCGGGAACTCTGGGCTGTTGTGGTTACAAAGTGACAGCCGGCTGCCTATAAATACAGGCCGGCTGAGCTGTCGCAGTCAGTTGTATTCCAGCTTACCATAATAAAGAGCTACTTGAAGAAATCGCGCGTGCCGGCTGCTATGTCAACCCACGACTTAACACTGGCGACGAGGATGGGATGATGGACATCAGAGCACAGCCAGATGCGGCCAGCCTGATGCTACCAGCTCCTTTACCATGACCAAATAGCAAGTGACCCCAGTGTGCATTTAACTACTCGGTCATCCCCCTAAAAGTGTGATAAATACTCCTTAGGGCTTGACATGATGATACAAAATTGAGTTCCTCCAGTTCACCTGAGATAATTTCCAGTCATTTTGCATGGGCTCCATGTCCTGCTTCCAAGTGGTGAACTTTGCCACATTCCTTCTAATAATGAACATTATTCCTAGCGAATGCCAATAGGATGTTGGAACCAAATTCGGAAATGGAGGTATCCACATGCTCAGAGACTGTGACCGTTTTTTAAAAAGAGAAGGTGGGGAATAAGGCATATGGATGAAGCAGGTTAAAAATAAGAGGGACTGCTGTGACTCTGTCCAACCCTATGCTAATTACTTACAAGAAGGCTTTTTAGTTTACTCATGAGTAACAGTGTAGATGGTAAATGAGGGATGGAATGGATCCTGATGGGAGGGACAAAGACCGCATTCCATAGCCCATTTTTAAGGCCTTTCTCCCATGCCAGTTGGAGAAGGAGGGTGGGAAGCAAGCTTTGGTTAGTAAGAGAAAAAAATAAATTATGCCCTACATTTATTTTACATAACATGCAGCAGCCACCAAAATTAGCTTCCTACCCCACTCAGCCCAGATATTTAATCTAATTTATTTGTTTGTTTCCTAGTTTAGATTATGCACAGCACCCAAGAATCAACACTCTTGTCAAGAAGCAAGTCATCCAGTTCCATGATGCTGTTGTTACATGACAGTTGTGAATAGTCCTCTTTTATGCAGTGATCGGAGATGACTCCATGTCTGCAAAGCTTTCTGTTTTCCTGATCTGAGAAAGAGCAGCCACAAGAAGGAATAAGAATAGGATGCATTGTTTATAAATCTATATTAGCTACTAGGTCTCAGGATATCTCCTGAAGGTATATGAGGCTTCCACCTTGCTGGAGCTAAGCAGGTCTGGGTTTGGGCATTTGTGTGTTGCTTTGAAAATGCTAATAACAGATATTGGGCTGTCACTGTTCGCAGAAATCTTAGCTCAGCATAGGAGCTTTCATTCAGGAATTGATCCATCCATCAGTTAAATCCACAGATTTGCATATGAATAAAATACATTTGAGATAAATGTTTGCTTTTTTCTAAGAGGGTGTCTGTCACAGTTATGGGAAGTTCTTGAATTGTATGTACCGTATATATACTAACCATGATCTCCAATGAGTTTGGCTAATGTCACCCAAATGGGAGGTGTCAAGAGGGAGGTGCTAGCAGCCTCAAGGAGACTTCAAGATCCGCAGAAAGTAGGGTGGGGAAATCTCAAGTAAAAAACCCTAAGGGAGCAAAGATTCTCCAGAACAGCAGACTCAGCACGCATGGAATGATGCTGACTCACTCTGTGCGTGCGTGTGTAATGGAGTAGCCTAAACAAAAGCACTGCACACAGCAGTGTTTTGCTGTAAGTCCCATTTCTAAAATAATTTACCTTTTTTATATATAAGACAAATTATGTGAAAATGCAGCTGGTGACATTTATTTGTTTATTTGTTTGCTTGCTTGCTTTTATATCCCAGTGTTTCCCAACCTTTTTTGGGCAAAGGCACACTTGTTTCATGAAAAAAATCTCGAGGCACACCACCATGCCAGATGGGGAAAGGTCACTTTTTACTTATGTAAAAAAAAATAAAAAAATAGTAACAGCATAGAAGGTAATGGTTAGGCTAGCATCCCTCTTCCAAATATGCTAGGTTTTTATTTGCAGGGACTGTTCTACATGGGAAAGCATTCAGCACTGTCATTCTCCCATCTGCCATCTGAATTGGTACTATTCTGGGTCAACTTACTCTGCTGCATGTGTAGATGAAAATGGCACCAAGTGTGGGGGAGGGGGCAGAACAGGTTTCAGATACAGGATATTAAGCATACACGTACTTCAGATTGAACTGGTTGCTTGCTTTGCAAGTTTCCATTTCCCAAATGACTGCCTTGGCAAGCACAATACCTACCAGGCTCAACGCCGGTCTCGCGCTGCCGCTTCCCGCGCTCTCAAGGACCCGGGAGGAGGAAGGCGTGAAGGGAATCCCGAAGGCGCGAAAACCTCGCGCATGCGCAGGCCTTCTGCCTGCGACAGCCCAGTAGGCCGGCCGAAGCGAGCAGCGATGGGATGTGGGAGGGAGCTCGCTCACCGCCCCGCGTGTGCCTATGTGGGGCACGTTACAGCCCCGTGACGTCAGCGCCACGCAGGCAGCCAGGCAGGCAGACGGCGAGAGCCCCGCGCTGGGCGGCCTCTCCTCGCCGCCGCCGCCCCACCTCTCGCCGCCCGACTCGCCCGCCTCCCTCCAGGCAACATCTCGCGGCACACCAGGCAACGTCTCGCGGCACACTAGTGTGCCGCGGAACACCGGTTGGGAAACACTGTTATATCCTACCTTTCTCTCCAACGAGCTTGAGGTGGCATACATGGTTCTCCCCCCCCCCCAATTTAAAACTCTGTGAGGTAGGTTAGACTAAGAGGCAGTGCCTGGCCCAAGGTCACCCAGTGAGCTTTGTAGTCAAGTGGGGATTATGAACCCTGGTCTCCCAGGTCCTAGTCAGACACTGTAGCCACTAAACCACACTGGCTCTCAACAGGCATTAAGTTCAGAATAAACTTTGGCTTTGCAGCTAGCCCAGACACATGCATTTCATCCTTTCCTGGTGGCTGGGTGGTCAACATTCCTTGACATACCAAATCAATGGCTTAAGCAACAGTGTTTAGCCTTTTCATGCCCCGTTATCCACATGCATTTGGAGACCGACTCCTTAATTTGTTTACCATATACTTCTGTGGCTGTCATGCTGCTGTTCTAAGCCACCTTAGGTCAAAGGGCAAGCAACCAGAGCATAGAGCAGCCTTCTCCAAGCCTTGGTCCCCAGATGCCTTTGGACTTCAACTTCCATCATCCTGACCATTAGCCATGCTGCCGGAGTTGACAGGAGCTGTAGTTCACCTACACTTGGGCTCAAGGTTGGGTAAGGCTAGCCTAGAGAACCTCTGTCATTAGCAGGGCTACCACATGGAAAAGGACATTCAAGCCACTCGCCCAGCCTCTGGCAGCAGCCGCAACATCCCTGTAAAGGAGTGGCACTGCAGTCATAGCACAGGCAATCTGAGATTCAGTGCCTACAGTGCCCCTCTTCATCACTTACATTCCTCCCAGCAGCTTGCAGACCACTTATAAAGGCCATCTCCAACTCCTCAAAAGATCCATCAACGGTGTCTCCGAAAAATTTTACACATCACTTGGGAAGACAGGAGAATGAACGCCAGTGTAGCGGAAGAAGCAAAGATCACCAGTGTCAAAAGCAATGATTCTTCAACATCAACTTTGTTGGACTGGTCATGTTGTTCGGATGGCTGAGTATCATCTTCCAATGCAACTACTCTATTCCAAACTTAAAAATGGAAAGCGTAATGCCGGTGGTCAACGAAGAGGTTGGAAGACTCTCTCAAGGCAAATCTAAAAAAATATAGTATTAACACCAACAATTGGGAAACACTGGCCTGTGAGCGCTCCAATTGGAGAACAGCCTTTACCCAAGGTGTTGTGGGCTTTGAAGACGCTTGAACTCAGGATGAAAGGGAGAAAGGCGCTAAGAGGAAGGCACGCTTGGCAAACCCTCACCGTGAACAACTCCTGCCCGGAAAGCTATGTCCCCACTGTGGAAGGACGTGTGGATCCAGAACTGGCCTCCACAGTCACTTACGGACATACCGTTAAGACCATGTTCGTGGGAGACAAACTTACTCAGCTACGAGTGATCACCAAAGAAGAAGAAGACTCTCCTGCACTGGCACATAGCTGATGGAGGTGAGGGGGTTGAGCAAGTGAAAGGGAAGATCACTTTTGGGAGGCAGTGAGGATACCACAAGAGAGCCTACTGCAGAGGCTAAGCATATAAGAGAAGTCCTGATGGGTCAGAGCAGACGTCCATCTCAGCTCCACAGCATCCAGTCACTTGTGGAGATCCTTCTTAATTGTTGGCAACCAGATACTCTGTGGCAGATATACTGCCCTGGGCAGAGCAATCTAATAATAATAATAATAATAATAATAATAATATTTATTTATACATACATACATACATACCCCACCCATCTGGCTGGGTTTCCCCAGCCACTCTGGGCGGCTTCCAACAAAACACTAAAATACTATACTAAGCTGCAGGAAGCCAGTGTAACTTATGCCAGGGCAATTTATGCCAGTGTAACTTACCCCTGTTTCAAACTCCTATCAGGAGTGTGGCTGCTGCCAGCTAATTCAGCCCCACCCAGCCTTTTGGAGGGAAAACAACCCTTTAAAATGGAGTTTGACTTACATCCGCCTTTTTGTAACTTCTACTGGGTTGCTAGGTCACATGACGCAGCGGAGCAGAGTTTGCAACAGGTGGATGTCTCTCTCTGCCCGACTGAGCTCAGACTCAGCCAGCGATCCAATCTACCAAACTCAGTTCATCCTGGCAGATCTGGGGCTTGGCTGGCTCCCTACATGTGGAAACCCCATTCCATTTAGCCATCATCATGGCATTTGATAACCCTGTCCAGAATACGGCTCTAACTTGAAGTTCCCAATAGCGTGTTTTTCAGAAACCCTTCCTCAGCCCAGGGTGACTTGCATTCTTTGCTTGTAGCCCTACACCGTAAACCCCAACACCCTGAAAAGAAGAGAAATGTTGAGCAGAGAGAGCAGTTGCAAAATACAAGCCAGAAATTCTCCACCCCAAGCTTGTTGAGAGAGAACAGAAGCCTCCTATGTCCACAGCAGCCGGCTCTCTTCTCTGCTTGGATGCCAGCCAAGTTGCTCCCTAGAGATCTGAAGACAGTTTGGGACTTGGGCTGAATGAAACCCCATCCCAAACCTTGCTTCAGAAACAGAAGGTTTTCCGTTCCGCTGCTGGAAATGGCTGTGCTTGAACAAAATAATATCTTCAAAGAGAAACGCCAGTGTGAAAAATGTGAAATTGCAACTCAGTCATCAGGTTCAGTTCTAGCAGCTATGATAATTGTTTCTTAATGGTAATTAACTTAGTGTTAAGGTATTGCATTACCACCAGTGATTACAATTGTGGATGGTCATTGTGCATAGATGTAAATTTTAATGTGTCACTTGACTGCATTGTTAGCATGAAAGCTGTCAACTGAGGATAACACTTTCTGTTCCTGATGAGTGGTTTCTTGCAACATGGTAAATTATTCTTTAAGATACCATGAGATCCTTGGTTGTTTTTGCTGCAACAGACTAACAGAGCTGGTGCAACAACCAATTTTCCTATACACTTACCATGCTTAGCTGTTTCCTCACCAGGGGGCACCAGTGTACCACCTTATGGTATAGTAGAGCAAGGTTTCCCAAATTTGGGTCTCCAGCTGTATTTGGACTACAATTCCCATCATTCCTGATGCTGGTCCTGCTAGGTAGAGATGGTGGAAGTTGTGGTCCAAAAACAGTTGGAGACCCTGCAGAGGACAAACACAGAAAGGACTCAGCTATACAGCTGCATATACTGTATAATGTTTTAAGTGAGTTTTAAGTGCATTATGCAAATGTGACACTAGATGGCGATGGTGAGCTGATGGCAGATTCAATATATTTTTCAAAACTTTTTTTTTTCAAAAAAGGATTTTCACAAGTCGGCCATTGCAACCGATGCTGTTAGTTTGTTCCTGAATCTTAGGAACCTTATGTTGTTTGCACGGACCCATTAAAAATCAACATGATGAGTGAACTGAATTATCAGGCCCAGTCAAGGAAATGATCACAGCAGTGTCTCTCATTTCTCTATCCACTTCTAACTGGTCATGATGCCTAGCAAGCAAAGCCTCAAAGTTTTGAAGGACAGCAGACATCGGTGAACCAAGAAACTAAATTCAATCTCCTTTCCCACCTTTTTCGTTTTCATTTTTCCCCTCAGAGGCGGCATAGTTTCTCAAGGCCTTTTTAGTTGCTCCAGGGAAAGCAGAGGGCCTCTGTTTGGCCTAGCCCAGAAGGCAAACCAGGGTTCGGACAACCCAGGGGGAAGGAAGGAGTCAATCCAGAAAAAGCTTGGGGGTTTAAGGAGAACATTTTATTTGTTAGATTTCCAGACTGCTCT